TTACTTGAATAAAAGAGTGTAGCGAAATGTGTATAAAAGTTAGAATCCTTATCAATTCTGCGAGAATGTAAAATTAAAGAAAGGAGTAAAGCTAAATACGTGCATTCCTAATATATATCATACTTCATTTTTTTTTTAACTTATGGTTACGGCTTTTTCGTTTAAATTTCCTTTAGTTGATATTTCTCGTGCTTTACGATTTTAATTTGTGTTATGGTTGTGTGATTTTTTATGAAAATTGGATTGATTTATTTTATTATTTGAATGGATTGATTTTCTTTTAGACAGACGAAGCAACACACATCGCAATATTTTCAATTCAGCTCCTTGTCCTCTAAGTACTTGTATTCAAAGGTGAATCCCTCCTTCTTTCGCTGACTCCACTTTTCATAATCGAAATAGATGTACGTACCCTGTAAATAGTTATTTTTTTATTATTAGTTATTATTTTTTTTTTATTTGCTCCCGCAAGGTTGCGTTTCATACCTGTTCGTAATCATCGTTGATAATCTTGGGCTCCTCGTGCCTTTGAAACCACATCATATACTTTGTGTGGAAACGCCAGCTCTGCTTTTTTAAGGCCTTAGCCGCTAGATATTGGGCCTTGGAGCCCTCCATATAGTAGAACACAAAAAAAAGGGTCTCCGTTGAGAGTCGTTGATAAAACTCAACTGTATCATAAATTGGCATCTGTGCCTTAAAATACATTTAAGATAAGGTACTCCGTACATAAAAATTGTATACTAATATAGCTCACCTGGGGGTAGTGCGCTGGCGTGAGCACTGGTGCGCGATGAAAGTACGTTTGTAGCTTTTCCGTGTCCATAGGCTGTGGCAGGTGATAGTAAGCAGCCTCCATCATTTGAAACTGCATTTGGTGCTCCTTCTGAAGTGGTGTTGGCCCAAGCGGTGTCACACCAAGCAGTGTGGGAATGTGCGCTTCCGTCGTGGCCATCTGCTGGGGCTGGCACGTATGCGTTTTGGCATTTCCGCTGATGGGCTGACCAGTAGCGTTAGATACATTTATAAGACCACTGCCAGTAGAAGGCCCGTTGTTAGATCCTGCGGTCGTAGCAAGGGAGCTATTCTGAATCTGTTGCTGCTGCTGGGATGTCAATTGCTGTTGATTCGTATTGGTTTCAGAGTTGAAATGTTGAAGAAGTGATTTCTGCGACTGCTGCTGTCTCAGGTCAATGCTGCTTGTTTGCTGCTGATTAAGTGAAATAGTATCGATCGCGGATCGATTAATAGCATCCTGTGCCATTGTTTTTAGAGAAATCGTATCGACAGTGCAGCTTGTGTCATTATTACTGTCCGAGACAGGAAGACCTGTAGGATTTGTCTTGATCAGTAAATGGTTTGCAATTTCAAAATAAGAAAAGTAAAGGACGAGTGGATTTATGCAAAGCTTTAACGATTAGATTAGCAAGTATTATCTATTGGTTAACCAAAAACCACTGCTGGATCGCCTTATACATGTTTATCTAAGGCAACCTTCTCCGTTGTCCATATAGATGACTTTTCACTATATAATAAATAGGTGTTTCGATGTCGAAAGACTTGTCTACCGACACGTCGCTGAGTTTGTCTACCGACACTGTGCAAGTTTGTTTCAGAAAGTTGGAACGCCCACAAAGACCAAAAAGCTGTCGCGTCCACATATTATTTAAGAGTTTACTATGTCTCTTGCCAATTTCTTTTGCTTTGCCAACTAAGTACCAGATAGTCGCGGAAATTAACTAGAGAATTCGGTCATATTTTTTGATTAATAAAAAACTGTAAACCCCTGAAATTGCATGACTTTTAATATATGTATAACTTCCGCACATATGAACTTAAATATTACTAAGCAAGAAAAAATTTTACTCGTTTAGAATTGATTTACTTTGATGTCATAGTTAACCGAAAAAGTAATACCAAAACAACTATTTATAATGCAGATAAAGACACTGCAAATTTTCGTTTTGGTATATACATATTTATCATATAAAATGTATTCCCTATAACATCAGTATAAAACACTTATAACCGCCAGTTATAACTGTAGCCTTACCATTTTGTATGTGAGGGGAATTTGTTTGAAGATTGGATAATGGTTGCACATGTTTCTGCTGTGCCTGTGTTCCAGCTCCTACGATAGCTGCCACGGTAGGAGTTACTGCTAGTTGCTGCTGCAAAACAGGACCATTTTCCAGAAGTGCTAAAATAGAGACAATTATTTAAGTAAGGGCGATAAACACAAATAACCGACACCCTACATGTATTGTGTTTTGCTACTGCAGCGAATGCAATTGTTGGTGTTGATTGGATCACAGATGGGCCTTGAACATTGGCGCTGCTCACGATCGGCGCCGAAACGACATTAGATGAAGCTGCTGCAGCGGCAATGACTGTGGAGCTTTGGCCAGGCGTTGGAGCGTTTGGCTGAACCGCAGGATTGTTACCACTAGACGTTGATTGCGATGCTCCCGTTCCTACAGTAGAGTTGCAACTTCCGCTCCCACTGCTACTGTTTTGCGACTGCATTGCGGAGGCTGCAACGATTGAAGCTGCTGTAGGCAGCTGTTGTTGATTTTTGCTGGGAGTTGAACTGACAATCTTATTGACTTGGGCTACATATGTATCAAAAATTAGTGAAATTAAAACTCGAAACTTGCAGAAACTTACTATCACTGCTCTGAGGCAGTTTGGCCGTGGCTCGTACAGGGGTAGGTTTTACAAGTTGATGAGGTTGTAGCTGTAAATAACAGTATATTGTGTAATGTGTATATTGTTAAATGTGTACAACCATAAGAAAATCTATTTTTAATACATACTTTCAATTTGAGGGTATTGCTTTCGCTGCTCTTGTTGCGTTTATCGCCTAGCCCCCCAACATAATTTATAGCAATTGTACCGCCTGCAGGATCCGTAGATGTTGTGGCCGACGAAGAAGCTGCGCTTGTGTCGCTCGCGTAGCCTACATTGTTGCCATTCGATTGTGCCGCTGTCAGCTGCTGCTGAAATAGTGCTGCGCTAGCTGCACTGCTACCACTACTAGCAGCTCCCTGCGACGAAGTGTTTAAAATTTGTTGAACAGTGACAGGGGACTGGGATGGACTGCCTCCGGAAGTGACGCTGCTTGGAGACCCGCTTGTCTCGTTGCTGTTATTGCTGTCCGTGGTAGCCGTGCCACTAAGCTCCACTTCATCAAGACCGATTATATCGTCGTATATGAACTCATTTTCCTCAAAGTCTGGCTCTTGTGATGAATCAATGTAGTACTCGACATCGTCTTTGATCTTGTTCACCTGCTCTGCTTCGACGCCGTCATTGTCAAGCAGCCTGAGCAGAGTTTCCAACTTTGTTATGTGAAACTTATGGCGATCCAACTTTCCTCGTAGGTCATCCATTCGCTCTTGTTTGTCTCGATCTAAACGTTTCTTTTTACCTGCCAGCAACGATTCGATCTCGCTCTCATACTGGTCAATTTGTATTTGAAGTGAACTTATTGAGCTGGTTAACCAATTGCGTGCATCATCTTTGATACGCTGGGCAGGATCCATCTTTTGTGCAGCTCCCAAGCCTTCCTTTGAGTAGGCTTTTGTTTTCGTTTCGCGCTCGACCACCTTAAAGCGTTCCATTTGCTGAAAAACATATAATTCTGTGCGCCTTGTCACAACAAATAATATTTAATAAACCCACTGTTTCAATGAGCCGTCGATTCTCAAGAAGGGAGCTCTTATCCTTAATTTCAGCTGATGCAATCCATGATTTAATTTGGTCGCGTAATCGTTGCAATTTCTTGATTTCCTTTTTGAGGTCTGCCTCATACTTCTCTTGCAGATGTTTTTGCTGATAAAATGGTTTCAACATTAAATTTTTTATACGTATAGGATGTTTTAAAAAAATGTTTTAAGCTCACCTTCTGGTTGGTGTTTGTCGCATTGTGTACTTTTTTCCAGATATCCTCAAACGTTTCAACGCCCTCTGCTACCTTTTTTAAACATCGATCAATTTCGCCTGACCACGACATTTAGTGTGTAAGTTTCGTTTGAGATGTTGAAAAGAATTCAAAATCAAGACCTTTGCTTACCTTGCAATTTTCTCGTCGCAGCCATAGCTATGTGTTCTCTTGTAAATTTTGAGGACGCAAATAGTTAGACATAGTCTGCTGTTGGATGCGGGGGTGTTTTTGGCTATAACCTGGATTCGGGCCACAAGCGGAGTTTGTTAGAATAAAGCGCCAGTGGTGTGGCGTTAATCAATCTGTTTGTGTTTGCAGGTCGCGGGTATGTCTCGGAGCACTAGAGGTCGTAGGAAGTCTGTGAATGCAAAAGCTTTGCTTTGGGAACGCAAGTGATTTCCTTAAGTGGACTACAACACACCCGCCAGAACCTTTCGACGGTATTTCTCTTCTTTTCGGCTGGGTTGTGATACTTTGCCGTCCGTGGGTGCAAGATTTCGATTCTTTGGCAAAGTTTAAAATCTGTGCGTCAAGATAAAGGCACACAACGTGGCGATCAGATATACTGGATATTCATTACATTGCCATTTACTGTGTACTGAGGCTTAGTAAATACTTAGATTTACGCATATGTACATCAATAAATACACTCATGGATTTTTCGCTTGCTTTTTGTTCTCTTCTTCCTCACACTTTCCGCCATCTTGAAATACATACCAGGAATACCATATATACCATATATTAAAATATCGAATATGTTGTCAGCGTTGTGGCAGCCCTGAATTGAAATTTTTAAAGTCCTCGTCATACGAATGTATATTTCCTATCGGTATCGAAGAAAGCAATTAATTGGGTTAGATAGCAATATTAAAATCGCTTACTGTTTTAGTGGTAATATTTGTTTATATTAATATATAGACGACAGTAATTATATAGATAATCATGTATATATGAGCAAAATACCGCATAAACGTTTCCAAAGAAATTATTTCCAACAATTTTTCACTTTTCTAAACATTTGTGATAATATGTCAAATAAACACAAACAAGAACCACAGTATAAACAGTCACTAATGCTGACAAAAGGTGCAGTTATTGTATTAATTATTTTTTTTTTTTTAATGCAATAATACCACTGCAGACACTCTATTTGAACGTTATATTTTATTGCCATGCGTGATCGTAAGAAACGGAGTGTCGGCACAATTATAGATATATTATAGGATATAGGATCTAAAATAAATTTACATGCTTAAATTAAAAATTGGGAAACCTATTAATAAACAATTGTGTGGAGTGGTATTGTCAGAACGAGACATATGAAAAACATTTTTCAAAAAATCGATTATAAAATGTTATATTTAAGATTTTTACACGCGTGGGAAACTTCTAGACATAAAATATACATAATTTACAGAACCGCTTGGATCTACGCCATCTTGTTACGATATCATGGCAACTTCGCTAGATAAGTACCAGGCTCTTGTTCTGGAAGGTACTTAACGGCCCTAGACTTGGATTCGTAGACCTAATGTGGAATTTATAAAAAAGTAAAAATGAATCCCATGTTAGGTCTCGCAAATTTGTTAACAAATTAGATCTAAAGACCTAACCAGATCTCAAAGCTACTAGTCTTGTTCGCTTCCTACACAGTAAAAATCAAATCGCTCCTAATTCAACCTAATAAATTGTCCAAAATTTTTCATCTAGGATGAAAACCCACTGCCATCTAAATTATTTTTGTTACCTAAATGATTGTGTTCTTTGTAGTAAAGTATCGATAAGAAGTAGGAATAATAGGCGTAACATAGACCTTGTAAGCAACCAAACATCTTTTAGGCAAATTAGTATTATAATAAGATTTGTCAATATTAACACAGAAACTAGAAAGTTGGAAAATAGAGAGCTTTTCCTAGCTTTCTCTATACTAATCGATACAATTAACGCAGGGTTGTCATTTATTATAGAAAAACTAGACAAATGGACTAGACTAGACATCTGGATGCGCGGTAAGAATAATGGTATACAAAAAAGATTGTGGACTCAAATCCCCGCGTTTTCTATATACCACGCTCAAGTGCTAGTTTAAATTTAATATTTAAGGACTGTGCCAACCTCAATCTTTATACGGTTGCAAAAATTATACAAATATTTTTGTCCTCTGCTAAAAGATGGGATATTATTAAAAATATATGTTCTAAATCTGACCTTAAAACCATTATCTGAAACAATATGCAGAATAGATGCTATAAAACCACTTTTTACAAATTTACTGGACATTTTTGATGACCTAAATGAAATATCAAATAAAATATCATATGATCAGAATGCAAAATATGACGCTAAATGTCTATCAGGAAAAATATGCATCTTTTTATGGAATAAATGTATGGAATATAATATTGGCGAAAATGAATTTTGTGAGTAAAAGTCGGCAGTCCGTCGATATGAATTTGAAATTGTAAGTTATGCCAAACAATTGCGAAAAATTAGTCGTCGAGCATGCATTTAAAACTTGCAGAATCCAGACCCCTAAGACGTAAAACTACTAAGATTATGAACACGAAGACCACTCATCCGAAACCCTCTTTTAAAGTTAATGTATTTATTTATATACCAAGAACCAAGCGGTCCTCCGTAGATAAAAGATTTAATTTTTTTGAATAATCACAACGACGTGTTTAATTTTATATATAATTTTAGAGATGACAAAGATTAAACACGATTAATAAGTAGCTGTCATCGTTTACAGGAGGAACATTCATCAAATGATTCATTGGATACTAACGCCGATGCCTTCTGTAAAGAAATTATGTCATGTTAGCCATTTTTAATAAAATGAAATAATGATGTGGTGAACATTTTCCAATTATTTTAAAACAATTTGACAGCTGTTTGTCCTAACATCACCATAGCATTACAAATTATGATAACTATGCCATTTACAGTAGCAAGCGCCGAAAGATCCTTTAATACATTAAAACTTAAAAAAAAATTAAACGGATAAATTAAATAAATTAAATATAAACAAATTTAGCGAAAATATCCACTGAGAAGACCATACTAGATCATATGGGATTTGCCAAACAAAAAAGCGAACAAAGTAGAAATATTATAATTTAATTATGTTTATATTCTTGCAAACTTAAGACTCCTGTTGTTTTTTTAGACATTTCATAGATACGTAATATTCATATTAATATTATTATTCTTAGAAAAAATTCAGATTTTTTGTTATTAATATTAAAATATACAATTCTTTGTAATTTAAGTAATATGTAATTAAAGTAATAATTATGAAATTATGTTAAGTAATTTCTTTGTAATAAAGTATATTGAAATTTGGTTAGAATTTTATTTTTCGCAGTAATTGGCAAGAGGCGAGCGGCACTTACACATTAAGCACTACCATTCAGGGATGGTCCATCATCAAAATGCGTTTTAAACGAAAACTGTCAATCGTTGGCAGTACGCTATGTTTGGAAGTATTAGAAAGGTCTAGAAAGATACTTATTCCAATTATTCAGCAAACCATTTTTGCACCCAAATTATAGAATTCAAGAAGTTCCGAAAAGTTGGAAAGGTCTGAATTGCCCTAACATCATTTCTAAATCAGGATGCTATAATTCGAGTGGGAAGCAGACTGGAAGCATCTGATCTTTCATTTGATGCAAAACATCCAATACTATTACCATATCATGGCTCAATAGTAAAATTAATTTTTGAAAAATTCCACAAAGAAAATATGCATTGTGGTGCACAAGCTCTGCTGGCAATATCTCGGCAGAAGGACAGTGAGTTTGCCTTGCGAAAACAATGAATTCGTTTGGTTGACTTCTCTGATTTCTGTTATATTTCGGTACAAAGTTGGATGATATGGATCTCCAGGTTGAGTAAAAGGTGGTACTCTAAACAGAAACCCACCATCAGGACTTGATACAATAATCGACCAAGAAAGTTTCGAATATAATTATCTTGCGGAAACGATAAGTCGTGCAAGCCGTCAATAAAGTCGTGTTGTGTTATAGGGAGAAGAATATTATATTTTTCTTCTATGGACTACGTAGTGCCAGATGTATTAAAATCACACAGAACTATCAATTGGTCCCTATCGAACAGCCTTTTTGAAACGGATTGGATAACGGACAAATGATTTTGATATTACGGGACTCATACAAAAACACAACAATCATCTTTCTTGCGCTTTGCCGATTCCTCTAATAGGTTAAGTCTAGTTAACTAGTCTAGTTAAGTTAAGTTAAGCTGCGAATCTAGCACGGAAAGGAGATCATCAGCTCGACGAAAACTATCTGAAGCCACGACAAAACTGCTTTTCAGTCTTTTCAAGCCACCTTCAGTTTGGCGCAAAGGCGATTTCACAACCCCTAGTGAAGCAACACAAACTATTTCAGATTAGCATTTCAATTTAATTTTTTTTAATTCGTTTATTAAAAAAATACGGAGAACTTAGTGGCAAGAAACAATTAATTTATTAGGCGGCAAAGGAAAAGAATGCGTGTGCGCTTGCCGATTTCAACTTTCAACATAACTTCTATTTCACACGATCGTACTTTGAGCCTAGATTAATGAAGGTTGGCGAATTCGAAAAGAACGAGAGAGAGTTTTATTATTAACTAACTTACACTAGACTTCACTTACACTTGCCTTCTTCATAAATAGACAAAAAAGGGTCCGGAGTTCCGGTTCTGGGAAGAAGCTCGATCCCGACGCTTTGAGGAGCGCGCTGTCTACCAATCGTAGGAGTAGGTGCTTGGCAGTTTTGACACCTGCCTCCCATAATCCGCCCATGTGAGGAGCTCGAGGGGGTGTGAACGCAAATTCTTCTTGATGCGCATTTGTGAATTGCGTCCGCCTGCTCCTCGATCGGCTGGCGAAGAGCCTGCCTCGTTCCGACGAAGTTTGTCGCGTTGTCGCAATGAACGGTCTGCGGACATCCTCGTCGACCAATGAGCCTTTTGCAAGCAAATAAAAAAGAATCAGTACTTAGATCTGACACAATCTCACAGTGAACGTCCTTGAACGCAAAGGTAACAAATAAGGCAACGTAGGACTTGCACTGAGGCCTTCCTCAAATTTTCAATGTCGTGTAGACAGGGCCACAAAAATCCACGCCACATATCGCAAATGGTCGGAGAGCACGGAGTCTATTTGCGGTTAGATTTTCCATAATTTGTGCCATTAGTCGAGGCTTGCTTTTAAAGCAGCGGACACAAGATCGAACTATCTGACTGCAGAGTACCTGAGAGTTTAATGTCCAAATGTCCACGCTGTCGTAGAATGCTCGCAAGTGCTCGAGGGCCGACATGAAAGTTTGAATAGTGCAGATGCCGGACGTAGCTCTTCACAAACTGGGAGCGTTTCGTCATCAGCAAGTAACACTTGGCATGATATAGGAGTGTTAGCTATTCGCCCCCCAACTCGCAACATCGATAAGTTGCATTAAGAGCACCTGTTTTCATGAATGAATGGGTTCAATCGCTGAAGTCTTGGTCCACCATTGGAGCCATTACCATCTTTTTCAATTTCTATTTGATACTTGTGCTCTTGAACTATTTCGATAATCTTATGAAATTGTTTATTTAGTGACTTCGAAAAGTATACTCTTGCCTTAAAATTTTATTAAAAGCGAACACTCTAAGCAGTTTGAGGTATGACGAGAATCCCTCGATGACATCCTGTTTGCACAGCTGCGGTCAGTCCGACCGTATTCTTTCTTGCCTTCTGACGCAAGACATAATCATCAAGCTCGAAATGCACATTATTGGTACAGTTTTCTTTTTTGTCCCTCAGACATGTGGTCTCCGCTACCCTGTTCAAAACGAATGTCGACAACGAAGATGGATGGGATCGAATTCAGTAAAGAGTTCATTTCAGAATCCGACCAGTATACAATGCGATCAATAGGGACTTTTACTAAGGGTTTGATTATATGACAGGGATCTGCAAGAATGTGAGCGGCACATAACTCAAGCCTAGGGAGCGTTTTGGTCTTGAGCGGTGCCTCTTTCGACTTTCACAACTAAATAAGCCGAGGGGGTCAAACAGCTTCGATGTCACTGATAGTTCCGTTCCGTTTTGTAGCTCGGAGACTCATGACAGAAGTGTCAATTTTAAACTTGAAGGCATCTTCTCTAGTCAACCACGATATTTCTAACGCCTTTGTTGACTCTGAATCCGAGATAGGTATCAACTTAACTGTGCTCTCAGATGCAGTGACCTCTGGTGAGTTTGAAAACCACTTTGTCAAATCAAAACCTCCTGTTTGACGAACCTGTCTTTAGCTCCTCTACGCATGCAGAACAAGTTAACATGTCATCGACGTACAAATCGGATCCAGCTCTAAGGAATGCAAATTTGGCAGACTTACGACGCGCAATTTTGTTTACGTACTCTGGGGCCTTAACACGCATTGATGGGGAATAATGTGGAGTTCTTGAGATATTCTTGGTTTTCATGTTGGGATCTCGAGACAACCTTCGCGCAAGCGACAAAAACCGACGTTTTGCAACCTCAATAGAGTTGCCTACCTATTTGGATCCGACTTAAACGGCAGCTTAACTTCTAGCCGACCTGATGGCAACCGAACCCAGAGGGGTGGCAACGCTAAATTGTTCTCAGGCACTGTGTATCTATTTAGAAGAGTGTGGTGTGAGCGGTAACAAGCTCGACACTTTTGTGTCTTTGCATTTCGGCTGTTTGGGAACAAGACACCCTGTTTTTCCACTTTTCATTTACCGTTAAGCATTCGTTAAGTACAATGAGTTATTTTTGCATTATATTCGCTTATTGTCACATGTATCGGTGTTCACATGTTGTTCACACTATAAACTAATGCGTACACTTAATGAGTTCAATTCGGGTGTTTGAATCTAACTGACTCGCTGCTGCGAGGGCATCGCCTTTTATTCATTCTTACATAGGTTCTTATCATCTAATTATATAATGCAGCGCTTGTAAGACGCTGCAGTCTGCGTTGGTCAATGCAGCTGAGGTTTATCTCAAATCTATGTTTGAAGCCTATGACCGCGCTAGTCACCTCCCGCGTGATCATATCTCTTGACACTTCGGCAATAGACCACTGCAACCGTACTTATCTGTAGTTGCCACTTATGCTGTCCCGTGACATGTTTATTGCAGCCCTTAAATAGAACATATTTATAGATTGTCTACTTATCATGTCTAAACACATGTTTAGACATTCTCCGGGGGGGAAAAATGTACGGCCAGTAGTTGTCTCTCATTTATGTGTTGCCTCCGGATATAAATGACCATTATAATTATAATAATCGTTGTCAACGCTAGGGCCGAGTGTCCGCTTGCCGTGTGGAAAATCAAGTCATCAATGTGTACTTTGTTATTTTTCAGAGTCTTGATGCGCATTTGAAGATTTTGCAGTTCATTTCTTTGGGTTTCTTTGAAACTTCTTTTCCATTTGCATAAGCCTTGCCATTGCCTGTTTGCGAGAGTCCCCAAGCTTTGCCTCTTGGTGGAATGGAATTGAAACCACAAATCTGCCTTCCTCGTTGATGACAGTTGTTTCTTGGAATTTTCTTTCGCATTCTGCATTGTCTGTAATTGTCTCATCGGTTTCATCTTCCAATTCCCAAAAGCGTTCCAGGTCCTTTAGATTTATTGTTGTAGTGGCACTTATAATTTTTTGCTTTGCTGCTCGAGTTATATTTCCGGACACAATCCATCCAAATTTGGTTTTTTGTCCCAAGATTCCATTTACGGTTTTTATTTTCTCCATCATAATCAGGGGAAATAGATCCACACCTATCACTATGTCAATTCTGCTTGGCTCGTTGAATCGTGGATCTGCTAGCCTGTAGCCCTTCCACTCTTTGTTGATATCAAT